AATAAATTGAAGTATACATCACTAGCTATAATAGGCCAGGGAAATAAGCAAAAAAGGTATTCTGTTTGTGAGATTGAACCGGTGAGGCAAACCACATTTGTTTTGAGTAGTATGGACCTCTGTAATAAAAACCTATATATTTCCTGTCGATGTTTAAACTTAACTAGTCATTAACAAATTAAGGTCAAAAAACGGTAAATTTTCACTTTTTTCGTCTATCAGAAAAAAGTGAAGCATTTGAAACAAATGTAAGAATAGTAAACTTTATAAGTCATATAAAATAATTTAAAATAGCTTTTCTTAATGGTATTATCCTTATTTGTTGCTTAGAAAGTTGCAAAATAAGTCAGAAATTCTGGTTTTCTATAGTAATGATACCTTTTGTTTAATTAACTTAAGATCTTCATATTACACACAATATTGGGTCTCCTAGTGCTTAAAATATGATCAAAATTTCAAAGCGATCCTTAAATTGTTTAAAAGTTATTTTATTTGTTTTTTCCAAATTAAATTTTTTTGTAACAATATAAGTCATAAAATGACGAAGTTACAGTAATTCTCCGAATCGCTTATAAAAGGAGAATGATGATTCTATTAAATTTATTTAAAAAAATTAAGAAAATTGATTTTAAATATTACAAAATCATTTTGCAAAAACATATCAATTTTTTGCTTATAAACAATTACAATAACTTTATAACTGTTGCCAGCAGGAAATTTTTTTCTTATTTGGAAAATTTATTCTACAAATTTAAAAAAAAAAAGAAAAGAAAAAGTTTTCTTAGGACAATTTGGGACGAAGTAAGTCCCTATTTTTTTTTTTTAATTAACAGCAGCTTTGTTTATAATAATTAAGAGATCTAAATATCGTCATTTGAAATAAGACACTTTAATGTTTTATTGTGCAAAATGCGAAAACCCACATGCCATAACTTGTTTTAATGGATATCGTATTATCGAGGCCAATATGCTGTGTTGAAAAGCCTAACCGATTTATTGCCTTTTTCACTTTGGAACCACTTTTTTAAATAATTGGATTATTTAATAAATAACTAAAATAGCCGAAAGCAGACAATTTTAGCGTTTTTCGAGGCCATTTTTTAATAGGTTGAACATGAAATTAAAAAAAAAACAAAAAATATGAGATTAAAGCTTAAATCAAGTAGTTTAAAAATGGGCAATTTAATTTTTATTTTTATATTGCAAAAGTCCGTTTAAAATATCTATAATCCAATTGGTATACCGTTGTGTTTCGGAATATATAGACTTGACGAATCTTATTTTAATCTTAATAATTTGATGCTGCAATATTACCGTAAAAAGTTGACCCAAAATTTACCAAGGGAACCTGCTTACTATAGACGAAAGAGTAACTGGGTTTCAAATAAATATGAAATTTTTTATTTGTTGAAAAATTGTTATAAACAGCTTCCCATGGAAAACTTTGGGTTAACTCAACTGTTCGCTGTAAAGTTGTAGCATCATATTCTTTCGACTAAAATGACATTCAGATTGTGGGTAAGAAATAAACAATGTGTTTTGAACTTAACAGTTTAGACGTTCAAATTAAAATAGACATGCGCATTTTATAACTAATGGACTTAAAGCTTTCACCTCATATTTTTTGTTTTCTAAATTCAATGTCTAACCTTGTTAAAAATGGCCTCGGAAAACGTTAAAGTTGACTTTTTTGCACTTTTACTTGTTTATTTACATCTTACATTTAAAATATTTTACGAAAAATTTTTTATAATTTGTTTAATAAATATTGTTAATTAAATAATAATAAATAGGTTGCCATAGAAAAATTTCCATTGAGAAATTTTTTTCATTGGGAACCCTTAAATTTTTATTTGAGATTATTTATTCCCAAAGCAATACATGAACCAATACTAGTTTTAGAAATAATTGAATAGGATAATTTATTTTTTTCATAAAATATATTATAAATAAATTATTTAGGACGTTTATTGAGGAAGTATATTATAATTATATTAATCATAAATCATAAATTTTAAAAATAATTGTTTAAACAATTTAGATCGTTTATTTAACATTTTTTTCATTTAAAAAATGCATATTCGTAATGTACGCAAAAAGTACATACTAATTAAAAAAAAGAAACGTCGAAATCCGTCAACAAGAACCAGAGATAGTGTTTCCCGTGAGTTTCAAAGACGGCCAATTTTTATAACCACAGTTTGAAGCTTTGTGAACGATTCTATTAAAAGCAATGTTTTTCGAATTTTGCACATTAAAACTTAAATGTATGTTCTTTCAAATGACGATAATTAGATCTCTTAATTATTATAAAGCTGCTGTCAATTTAAAAAAGGCACTAACTTCGTCCCAAATTGTCTTAGGACAACTTTTTCTTTTTTTAATTTGCAGAGAAATGCATGCTTTCCAAATATGAAAAAATAATTTTCTTGTAGGCAACAGTCAAAATCAAAAGTTTTTGCAAAATCACTTTGCAATATTTAAAGTTTTAATACAGTTGATAGAATTATTCTTCTTCTTTCACAAGCTGTTCGTAGAATTACTGTAACTTTATAATTTTCTGACTTATATTGTTGCAAAAAAATTAAATTTGGGATAAACAAATTAAATATCTTTTAAACAATTTAACCGATCGCTTGAAATTTTGATCATATTTTAAGCACTACAGGACCAAACATTCTGTGTAATATGAAGGTTCTAAGTTAACTAAAAAAAAAGATATTAATAAATAGTAATATTTATAAAAAACCGAAATTTCTGACTTATTTTGTAGCTTTCTAAGCAACAAATAAGCATAAAAACGTTTAAAAAACGCCAATTTGAAGGTTTTTATCTTCCTCTTCAGTGCCTTATCCGGTCCGGATGTTGGCGATTATGAAGGCTATCATGGTTTTGTTGACAGCTCTGCGAAACAGCTCCGCGGAGGTCATCCCAAACAATTATCGGAGGTTTTTTAACCACGAGGTACGATGGCGTCCCGGTCCTCTCCTGTCAAATACTTTACCCTACATAACGAGTTGAAGAATTCTATATTTTTCTTTGTTCCGTATCATGTGGCCAAGGTACTCAAACTTACGTGGTTTCACTAAATTAAGCACTTCTTTTTCTTTTATCATGCGCTGTAGGACCTCAACGTTGGTGACATGGTCCACATACTATATTTTTAGTATCCTTCTGTAGATCTACATCTCGAAGGCTACCATCCGTTTTTCTGTGGCTTGCGTCAGTGTCCAGGATTCAACTCCATATAGTAACACTGGAAGAATGTAGCACCTCACTATCCGTATCTTGGTTCCCAAACTGTGATCACTGCAGCACAGATTTCAACTTGAAAAATGTAGACCGTGCCATTTCAATTCTGGATCTAATCTCTTGAGCGTAGTCCCATTGTCAGTTGAGGGTAGTTCCGGAGGTAAGTAAATCTGTCGACTATCTGGATCTCTTCGCTACCTGCCATTAGTGCCCCGTTATCTAAATTTTGACAACCATAAATTTAGTTTTCTTAATATTAAGGTCTAGTCCGTATGTTACTCTCAGAGTTCTCACTCGGTCTAGTATGGCTTGTAGATCATTTAGGCTGGTTGCTAGTAACATAGTATCATCGGCGTAGCGGATATTATTGATGTATTCACCGTTCCTTCAGATTCCCATCCTTAGGTTTGTGAGAGCTTCAGTAAAAATTTCCTCAGAGTATATATTGAAAAGAGTCGGCGAGAGCACACAGCCTTGCCTTACTCCTCGCATGATCTTCACTTGGTCGGTCAGCTGGTCTTCGACCTTGACTTGAGCACGTTAGTTCCAGTATAAATTTATGATGATCCGAATGTCCTTATCCAATCCTACTCTTTGTAGGGGGCCGTCTTCTGGTGCTTACAACGGTCAAATGCCTTGGCGTGGGCAATAAAACAAATATAGACATCACAACTGACATCGCGGCATCTCTGAAGTAGGACTTGAAAGGTGAAAAGTGCTTCACCTGTACCCATGGAGAAGAATCCAAATTGCATTTCACCGACATTTTTTTCGCATTTCTTGTAAATTCTGGCATGTATGATTTTAAAAAAAATCTTAAGTGCATGACTCATAAAGCTGATAGTTCGGAAATCTTCGCACGTTTTCGCAGATCGTTTTTTTTTGGTAGTGTTAAAAATGTTGACCATAGCCATTTCTTTGGGATATTACTTGAATCGTATATGGCAATAAACAGTTCAATTAACTCTTTCGTGCTTACTTCACTCATCACCTTAAGAAGTTCTATGGGTATTTTGTCCGGACCTGTTTTTATATGATTTATAATTTTATTACTCTTAAATTTATTTTAAGTGCTTTGCTTTTTACTTCTAGAAGAAAAAAGTGAAAGTTTACCTTTTTTGACCTTAATTTGTTAATAACTAATTAATTCCAAAAAATTGACTGCAGGAAACATATAGGTTTTTGTTACAGTGGTCCATACCAGTGGCGCACCCAGGGGGGATTTGGGTGTTAAAGCCAGCCCCCCAGGACCATATTCCGACACTGTTATTCACAAATTTTAACGACTTAAAATGGTGGAGGTAACATAAAAAAATTTCGGTGTCCAACCAAAATCCCCCCAGAGGAAAATTCTAGGTGCGCTACTGGTCCATACTACTTAAAACAACTGTCGTTTGCCCGGCCGGGTCAGTGTCACGAAAAAAAAACTTAATTCCATGGTCTATAAGAACAAGAAAACAAAACGTAGACAAAAATAAATAAAAAGAGGTTAATCTTTGTAAATTGTAAATAGGTTTATTTCTATATTACAGATGTCCATATTATAGACGTATCTGAGAGACTTAAAGGGGACCGCTTTAAAGTATCCAAATAGTCGATAATAGGTTACATTATTGTTTATAATAATTCTCTTATAATACTGCTATATTTATATATCTATAAATAAACTAAAGTTAGCGACAAATATCGTAATACAATTCGTAGACATTATTTTTCAAGAAACTCTTATTGTTTCGTTTCTGTTACAGGTCTTTTTCCACTAATGGGACACGCAGCAATGAATATTAGACCGACGTTATTAACTATTTATGAGACCCATTTTATACCATTAGGAGATAGATTGCGGCCAGCATTAAGTGGATTTCTCAGTGGAATTTTGTTAGGCCTTGATACGGGAACAGATCATTTTGATAGGTGAGTTTGAAACGTTTTCATTTGAAATAAGTAATTATTATTATCATCTATTAAAAACGATGTGGTTATTATAGATGTAGAAATAAAAAATGGCTCAAAAACATGTATGAGACGATATTGGCTAATAATTTCCACTCTTACTAAAATTTTTGGGTGATTAATTAAGTGGATAGAATGATATTCAATTTTATACAAGATTCGAATAAAATAGCATATTTGTCAAAATAAATATTAAGCATAAAAGTTACTTAATAGTTACTCAGCTTGTATCCTTTCATTCCTTTTTAATTTCTTCATGTGTTTCTTTTTTACTGAGGCAGGTTGCTGGCTTCACCTTCGAACTCTCTTTTTTATCCGTGCTTGTGACAGGCTGTTCTGCTCTTAAGCTTCTCCATCCAGCTAACAATAGCACAGGTAGAGTTCAAAACCAACCCATTTAACTTTAATTTCAAAAAGAGGGCCTGCGTCTAAATGGTAATAGACCAAAAGAACTTACAATATTGCCTCAGACTAGCCTACAGAGTGGTACGAGTCTGCGTGCCTTAGACTAGGAATGGCCCGAACCGCAACTGCTAAATTAATTAAAATATGGAAAGACCGAACAATAACAAGGAATACTAAGCTTAGGTTGGTCAATGCCCTTATTTTTCCCATTGCTACATATGCAGCTGAAACATGGACTCTCAAAAAAATCGATAGGAGTAAGATCGAAGCCTTCGAAATGTGGGTATATAGAAGAATTCTACGCGTGTCCTGGACAGAACATAGAACCAACCTGTCAATTCTGGAAGAGCTTCATATAAAAGACAGGCTACTAAAAAAAGTAAACCAAGCATACCTAACTTACTTCGGCCACATAGCTAGAAGAACGGGCACCATGGAACTATTAGTAGTAGAAGGTAAGCTAGAAGGCCGAAGACCAAGAGGAAGATCTCCAATACGATGGGTGGACCAAATGAAGAGTTTGGTGTTAAAATCCCTACATGAAGCCGTCCATATGGCACAAGATCGCAGTCAATGGAGACAGCAGACTAATAATATTTAGGGTGTCACTACGCCCTGACAAGGGCTAAAGGATTGAGGAGATATATATATATATATATATATATATATATATATATATATATATATATATATATATATATAAGAAATGAGTAAAGACGCTTACAGAACACTAATACTTAATAAAAAAAGTGTCCCTTGATTCGGACTTTGTTAGAATGTATACAAGCAAGGTTTGCAACCCGGTCGATTGAGGTGCCTATAATAGTGATAATGGTCCTGAGAATGAGAGGCTTAAATTTCAACATGAATTTCATTTACTTAAAACAGAAAAAAAAACGTCTCAAGGCAGAAGGTACTTAAATTTTTTTTAAACAACGAACGAGAAATACTTATTTTCAAAAGGCCTTGACTTTTCTGAAACCATCAACTATTATTTCGAAATTCATGACCGTGTGGCAGTTACAGCGTACACTCTCATATACAGAGACTGTACGAAACATATAAAAGATCATTCGTCATCATAGCTTATAGTGACGTGTGCCCTGTACAGAACAGGAACATAAGGTTGTCATGGAAAAGTATTGTTGAAGATCCAATTCATCATCATATCTTATGTTATGAAGGCCTCACGTTAATCCATCATCCTAAACTTCCACCATCTTTTCATAGCAAAGTTTGGAAAAGAGGGTATAACCCGGATATCTGTTTTTCAAGCAACAACCTCGAAGACCGAAGTACCAACGTAGTATATGGCCCCATACCAAAAACTCAGCATAGACAATTGGTATAAATATCTTCCCAATTGTCAGACCACAAGCTATTCCATTCAGAAGATTTAACTTCAAAAAGGCAAACTAGCAAAAGTATACAGTTGAACTACTACGCCTTGAACCAAAAGTAGAGAACTACGAAAAATTCGTAGAGGTACTCAAAAATGTGTCTAGAAAAACTATCCCTAGAGGATGTAGACAACAATATGTTCCCGGGATGTCCAGCGAGTCTAAAGAACTAATAATGGAGAACATACGAAACCCTCTATTCCACTGACCCTTTTAGCCAAGAAACGGTTGACTGCGGAGCAGTACTACTCCAACAGCTAAGTCAAGCCAGACAGGAAAAGTGGATTGAGACCCTGGAAAAAATGGACATGACACATAGTAGCAAAATAGCATGGAACCTTGTAAAAAAACTCAGCGGTGATCCAAAATAACATAAACCACCTTGTAAGGTTACAGCAAACCAAGTCGCTACTCAACTCCTTACGAATGGAAGAACTACTAACCGATATAAGGACCCAAACACTAGGAGAAGATTGGATTCGGAGACAAACCACCTAGGAACTCCTTTTACACTAAAAGAACTCCATGACGGTCTGAACAAGTTAAAAAACGGGAAAGCTGCAGGTGTGGATGATATATGCAGTGAACAAATAAAGCATTTAGGCCAAGGAGCAAAAAACTGGATCTTGCAATTTTATAACACGTGCTGCAAAACCTGCAAAATTCCAAAATCATGGAGGAAATCTAAAGTAATAGCCTTGTTAAAACCAGAAAAGGATCCAGAAGACCCAGTAGCTACAGACCTATTTCGCTATTTTGTCACTTTTTTAAATTATACGAGAGACTCATACTTGCCAGAATAGAAAAAAATGTCGACAAGCACCTCATCCCACAACAAGGAGGATTCAGACCTGGCAAATCTTGCACCGGTCAAGTCCTCACATTAACAGAACACATTGAAGAGGGCTTTGAAGAAAAACTTGTAACAGGGGCTGCTTTTGTAGATCTGACAGCAGCCTACGACACAATAAGTTGATATAAGTTGATATAAGAGTATAAGTTGATACTGCGCTAAATGAGACATGCAGGATAGTAACGGGGTACATGAAACCAACGCCACTTTCAAATCTATATAGAGCAGCGGGTTTTGCAGAATCCTTAACACGCAGAGGCGCTGCAGAACACATAGAGAAAATTGAACATATCGCGGACGATCGGCATGCCCTATACAAAGCTCGAACACCACGAAAGCGACTAAAATCTAGGAAAAGCTTCCTTGGAACAGTGCAGGATGAACCGCCTGAGTATTTTCCACTTCCCCAGGTTCAATGGACCGGCCAGACCCTAGACTTTAAAACGTGGAAAACCTTGAATAGGATCAGAACGGGGGTTGCTACAATAAAATCAAACATGGCAAAATGGGGAAAAATAGACCAAGATGAAATGACTGTGGAGAAACACAGAATATGGAACATCTTCTTACATGCAGAAACTGTCCTCATCGATGTACCCTTGAAGATTTGTGGCTCGCCAACAGAGATGGAACCGACGTAGCCCGAAACTTTACTGGGCCGAAATTTTATGAATGGCATGTCCGGACACGATAAAGTAAAGTAAGTATCATATCTTATAGTGACGTGTGCCCTGTACAGAACAGGAACATAAGGTTGTCATGGAAAAGTATTGTTGAAGATCCAACGAAGAAAATTGAATCAATTGATTATAATTTTATGGTATCCCAATCACTCTTACCAAATTAACGAATTATTGAAAATATCGAATAGGCTGCAAGAGAGGCATCCATATTTTGTCGTAATGACTGGGTCAGAATAATAGAGGATGCTAGAAAGAGAAACAAATTTGTGGTCTAAAAATGACACAGAGATTTTTTCTCAACGGCACTGTTTAGGTGGTGGAATAAACATTTTATAATGCCTTTATTGCATAACAACACTACAGTCTATTTATGTTATATGTATATGCAGATATCTGATTCTCCTTGCCAACTTGCTCTCTCGCACAGGCTCAGTAGACATAATAGAAACAGACACTCACACATGCATACATACACTGTAGTGCAAAATTAACCGGACACTTAGATTCTTCCTAAAAACTGGCGTTTAAAAAAGTTTTAATATTTCTATTTGAGTATTTAACAAATAAACAAAATTTAATAGTAAAATTTATTACAAATTAAGAATTTAACAAAGAAAAAAGAAGAAAAAATTCAAATAATTTGAAAATCTACAAAGAAACAAAAATTCAATTTTTTAATTTTGAACATTTTTTTTTGTAAAAAACGATATTTAGTAGGGTGTATTAGATCTACGACCCCTAATTACTGCGCTCATTCGATCAAGCATACTTCGGATTAAGCAAATTCTTCATAAAGAATTTACTTCCATTCGTCACAAACTGCTTGCTTCACGTCATTGATAATTTGAAACTGGAGTCTAAGTCGAATACGTCATCCCAGAATATTCCATACATGCTCTATTAGATTTAAGTCTGGACTCCTTGGGAGCCATAGTTATAAAGCAATCTTAATTTCACCCAAGTAATTCCGTGTTATTCTTGCAATGTGTAGACAAGAATTATCTTGCATCAGACGAAAGTTTTCTAAAACAAATGTGGAAATGACACTAAATGATCTTACCAACATTGTTTAATATAACTTTCAGCGTTTAAATCGCCCCCTAGAATTGTAGCAGTTTCTGTATGAGCCGCTAGAGAAATGCTTGTGCACACCATTATACCTAGTGTTGCCCAAATGCAAGAACAAGACGAGACTTAGACAGTCTTGGTCTTGGTCTTGCACCAATATACCTGGTCTTGGTCTTGATATTGCGCTCCCAGTCTTGGTCTTGGTCTTGCAGCAAGAGTCTTGCAAGTCTCGAAAATACCCATTAGCCTATTGCTATTTATTTTATTAAACGTTACTTTAGATCTTAGAACAACGTAACACAGTAGGTACATTTTAAGCTTGAATTAACATAGCCATAAAAAGACCAACCAAATTAATGAATGTCTAAACAACTGATACTGGGTGGGGTTTGAACCCACGATCTAAGCGATCCGTGCCTATGCTCTAACGAGCTATATACCATGTCAATCTGTCAATCTGTTTCTTAATAAGCGTTTGCTTTTAACAAGCTTACGTATGCACAAACATGGTTAAAAAACAAAACAACCAAATTAATGACATAAACTTTAAAG